ATTTAACTGGGTCTTAGGGTGTACTCTGCCATCTACTGGTCATTATTATAAATTAAAAGTAAACTGAGGCTAACTGTTCAGCTCCACCAGACTCTAAAATACTAATTTTCCTTGTTGATTAAACTTTAAGCGTCTTCCTTTTTTTTATTGTTTCTTCAGAACATCAAGGCAGCGATGTCCGCGGAACGCACCAAGGGTTTCTGTCACGTTGTGGTGTCCTCCAACCTCAGAGATGGAGTCTCCCACCTCATTCAGTCCGCCGGTTTGGGCGGCATGAAGCACAACACGGTCCTGATGGGCTGGCCTGGAACCTGGAGGCAATCCAATGACCCACTGTCCTGGAAAAACTTCATAGGTACAGCAAACCATCAACTCCTGTCTCTCATAATTTATTTACACTAATTAAACCAAATATACTTGATAGAAATAATGATAAAACGCCTCAGAACCCAAACCCAGGTAGAACATGGTCTCCCATGGACTCTTCTGTCCCTGCAGAGACGGTCCGTGAGACCACAGCAGCCCACCAGGCCTTACTGGTAGCTAAAAATGTGGACAGCTTCCCCACTAACCAGGACCGCCTCGGGGAGGGAACCATTGATGTGTGGTGGGTGGTCCATGATGGAGGCATGCTGATGCTGCTGCCCTTCCTGCTGAGGCAGCACAAGGTAAGAACTTTCTTTCCTTCCATCCATCCATCCATCCCCAGCGTATTTGTCTCTATTCTTTTCTGATTGCTTTCCCTCCTGCAGGTGTGGAGGAAGTGCAAGATGCGCATCTTCACCGTCGCCCAGATGGACGACAACAGTATCCAGATGAAGAAGGATCTCCAGATGTTCCTGTACCACCTGCGGCTGGACGCTGAAGTAGAAGTGGTGGAGATGGTGAGACGGTTATTGGGACACAGTTAGATTAGAAAATATTCCCACATTCTGAGCTTTAACAGGGATTCTGCTCAGCTTGACAAGTCGATTCTGATTTTATATAGACTCATCTCGCTGTTTCCTGTTTGAAGCTTACTGTAGTGGCGATCGTTCGTCAAACCAAACATCCAATAAAGTTCCAATAAGCCACTATTTAGGCACTGGGGTCACGTTTTCTTGACGCAGGCAAAAGAAGTCGAAGTCCAAACTTGCAGATGTTCAGTTGATTTATTTCCTATATTTTTTTTAGGGATGCACGATATTGGGATTTTGGCCGATATCCGATAT